TTTCACCCTTCAAGGTTCCTTTTAAGTACAAAACGATAACGGAGCATAAACTCTAAAACGAGAAATACCTCAGATTAGGGGTGATTGATCTTAACGTTGCTACTTGACAAACTTGGGATTAAAAGCCATATCATTTAGGCACAACCCAACCCTACTCAAGCAAGGGGAAACATTCATACCATTGCAAGAGGGAGAAGCTCCCAAGTAGTACATAAAAGATACTAGAGGAGTATCAACTCAGTGAGCCACTTCTTACCACGATGCTTACCTTCTATAACCTCCACAGATAAAGATTTTTGTATAGACGATCCAGATCAGGACAATCTAATAGTCTTCATAACAACCATCTCCAATTAGTGAGTTCACAAGATCCTCATCAACCAGGGAAGCTTGGCTGACATCCCACTTTGGGATGCTTTCAAAAAGTTGGACATCTTGATCGACTTAATTCGACCTATCTGAAACCTCTGCTCGGTTTTGTCACAATCTAAATCGCGATGGGACGACGAATCGAAAATTAAACTAGTTAAAAAGAGGTTTTAAAGTCGCCACCATAATTTATTCTAGAAAAACTATGGAAAACCACTAAATAAGACATGGTCTACAAAAATCGAATTTTGAGTATGAGAGTCGGTTAAGCATATAAAATGTATTAGCACTTTATTGTGTCTTCTTGAAAGCAGTACCTTTAATTAAACTTACGAAGTTGAGATGGTTTTAAAAAAATGTTTAATTTTTTCCTAAAACTAAAGAAATAAAGAATTTTTTTTGGCTTTTTAAGCCCAACAATGATTGACCATACTCCTATTATTCTCATTTAAAATGAGAAATTATGATCATGTTATTCTTTATGAAACATTGTTTGAAAATTATTTGATTTTTTTATAAGTGAATCTTGTTAGAAATAAGGAGGCTTGTTTCTCAACGCTAAGAGGGAGGGGGGTATGAATTGGTGTTTTATAAAAAAAACTTAAACTTTTCAAATCTTTTTTGTGTTGTAAGTAAATGCGCATGCAAAGAAAGTAAAGAGATAAGGAAAGATAATCAAACTCAAGATTTTTATCCTGGTTCGGCCTTAATGCCTATATCTAGTCACTCTCCCAATCAGCCTTAGATTGGAGAGTATTTCACTATAATGATCAAAGTATTATAGCAAAGGTTTTATAGAACTTTCTCAAATGTAAGCACCTTCCAAACTCTCAGTCAAATATTGAAACAGAATACACCTGCACATACTGTAGGATACACCTGCAGTAGTGCTAATGTGATCAACCAATATAGTCCACGAAAATGCCTCTCAAAAATGCTTCAAGATTCTTCAAATTCTTCGTGTTCTTGATTTTTAGAGCATGTGTGCAACCTGTAAAATCTTTTCTCAAGAGAATATCAGATATGACTTTACAAAATGATCAAAAGTTATACTATTGCAAGCAATTATATAGTTTTTCTCAGTTCAGATGCAAAACAATCGATTACATTATTTATGTAATCGGTTACATTAAACCAGATGTAGCAGTATTACAACAAACTCAACTCTTTAATTGAATGCTCAATTAATGTAATCGATTTGCAATTAATGTTGGTCAAACATATTTAAAAATATGATCGTTAAAGCAGTTATGACTAGCATGTAATTAGTTTTCAAAACTTAACAGACTTAATTGAATACACAACTCATGAAATTGATTAATCTTAACACTTAAACACATTTGAAAACTTTTCTTCTCAAAAACTCATCATAGCACATTTGAAAAAGGTATATGCAAACACACGAGTTTCAATCGATTTAACAACTAATGTAATCGATTCAAACTAGCTGTTTTGCCACAGTTCATAACAGTGCTTGTGGTTTTCATTACACAGAAACATACAGTGTGCATACACAAATTTAATCACATAATAATCATAATAGTATGCATAACCAACAAAGTATGTGCAACATATGCATTTATCACAATATGTGCATATAACTCAGTAAGCATATACATATTCTACATATGTATAAAACAACACAGAAACTATTTTCTGTTGTGACATGACAACATTCATGTGTTGTTGCTTATTAATGTGTTGTCATCATCAAAACAACATAACAAAGATTAGGTTTAACTATCACATTGTTGCCCCTATCAACAAATCTAACAATGACTAGCTTTGCTCGTATGGATTATTTGACATAGTTCTTATTTTGGAAAAAGTATTTGAAAATTGTTTGAAAATGATTATGGATTATTTTGCATTTTTTGGAAGTGAACCCAACAATGATTGATCTTGGTTCTACGTATCACAACTCAAAATGGAGAATTAGGGATCACATAGTTCTTTGTGAAAAGATTGGTCGTTAAAAATGTTGATGTTTTAGTTTTTGAAGATTTTGTATTTGTTTGGTAGTTTTGGCATTTTAAGTACTAGGAAAACGCAGACAATCACACAAGTACTTATACTTTTAAAACCTCATTTAATTATTTTAGAAAAATAAAGATATTAAGTATATTAGAAAAATAAAAATAAGTAAATATACGTATTATAAGTGATTTAATACACCATTAAACGAAATTGTATAAAAAACAAATATAAATAATTAAAGATATAATAAAATAAAATATATATTGAAAAATCTTATAAAACTTTTGATATGATTAAGAATAATGAAAATTAATTATACATTACGTAAAAGGAAAAATATTATAAATGCAAGTAAGTGGTAGGACTTTAGAAGGAAGAATTGGTGTTGAGGAATACAACTCTTAGATTACTTTAATGGACAAAAGACCTTGATAGCTATGAGAGTGACCTTAATGGATAGCTATTGCATCGACACTTGTTCTCAACCATGTGATGTGCAAGCGCCATCATTCCCACTTTCTACCCTCAAAGCTAAAGTAATATATTAAAAATAAATCATCACTGCCCGAAATCCTTCTTGTTAATATTACGACTTTACTCAGTAAGGTGAGTTACGGTGTATGTTGTTGGAAAAATTTAAGTATTTAATTATATTTAAGTATTATAATTATGTATAGTTATAAATATAATTTTAAATACAGAGTTTGATAATATAAAAATAATTAAACAATTAATTATGCATACTTTTTCTTTTATAATAAATTAATTAAAAATAAATAATATTATTTTAATATATTTTTTGTTAAGGTAATATATAATAAAAATAATAATGATAATATCAATAATAATAATAATAATAATAATAATAATAATAATAATGCCAATTCTAATAATAAAATCAGCAAAAATAATAATAAGATTAAAACATAATATTTAGATATGAATTTCATTGTTTTAAATTATAAAATTAACATAAAAATTGATTAGTAATGTATAATAAAATAATATTTTTATATGGTTAAAATTTATAGTAAAACTTTTGAATTATATATTATATTAAAATGAAATGTATATCCTTGTCGCATATTATTCAATATCATCCCATTAAAAAAGAATACAATACAAAATTGATTTAACATTCATTTTTAAATAGAAGTATATGTTTGATATAAACCGCTTAAAACACATAAATATATTTAAAAGGTATTAACCATAAAATACAATGAAATGTAATCCTTATTAAAAAAATTAAAATAACATGAATTCGATGTTAAAATAATAATAATAATAATAGTAATAGTAATACAAATAATACTAATAATAATAATAACCCAAATAATAATAATACTGATATTAATGAGAAATATTACATAATAGAAAAGTCAGCAATAATATCACGAGGATTTATAATTAAATAAACATATAAAATATTAATAAATTTTATATAACATAAAGTTTTAATAAATATAATAACAAATCAAAATACTAATATACAAAATAGTAATACTAATGATAGTATAGTAATAAGATATAAATTTAATTAATTCAAGACAAAACAAAGCTGAACAGCGATCACATTTTCAACACAAACAATTGTGTAGGGTAGTGGAGAAGAAAACCAAACACAAAAATATATCACCTGATCAAAGCTTAAGAGGCGCAGGGAAATGAGAAAATATTAACCTTTGAAAGCTTTAATCACAACTCTCTCTTTTCTTGTAGGCCGCTTTGAATCTGAGACATTTGAAAAAAAAAAACCAGTCACATCTCTTACAGTATTCGCGCCATTGCAAAAGGGGATGCAAAGACAAATTTGCCATTACAAATGGCCTTCTCCAAGAGAGAAGGAAGGTTACGGTGGTCCTTACACAATAAAGCACTACCAGCTTCTCGCAAGCAAGAAAATACCAGAAAATGGGACAAATGTCAGCAACCTAGGGGTATTTAGGTATATTTCCTACCACTTTGTTATATCATATTAGCTTTTATATTAGATTCTTTGTTATTCTTAATTTTTTTTATTTAACTACATTTCAATTTTTTTTTATAAATTTAAATATTTTTAATTGACTTTTTTATTAAGTTTTATTGACCGTTGTTTTATACTTGCTTATTTGTTTCTACATATTAATAAAGGTTAAGTATCTTTTATTACTTAAATTAAAAATAAATTATATAACACGTCATATGATTTTCATGTCATGACCAAAATATTGTCATTGTTACCATTACTATAGGTAATAACAATTTTTATACCATTACTTATTCTGATCAAGACACTGTCAATATTATTAACATGAACATAGATGACAACAATAGTCACTTGTTATCCAATACATTTTCTGTAAAAATAATAAAAACTATTTATCATTTTACATTAATCATAATATCATTTTATATAATCACGAAACAAATAAAATAACTCAGACATCAAGCTAACAGCCATACTCATTTAATAGGAAAATTAAGGACATTCAATAAAAAAAATATAAAATTTGACTACTCAATTAATAGACAAGAAATTAATATAAACTCAATTAAAAATATTAAATTTACGATAGCCTTAAGACTTAATTAATTTTTTTTTATACTAATGAATTTGACATTGCAATATATATTTTTATATTTAAGAATGTTAGCAATACATCCTCAAATACCCGCTTGAATGTATTATTTGAAAGAATTTTAGTTGGGAAACGAGGTTGCTTTTAAAGAATTCTCTATTATGGAGCACATATGGAGTATGGACTTGATTTTACAAATAAAATGTACAAGGCACAACTTAAGCATAGTACAAGACTAGGCTACTTTCAACAGCACATGCAACTAGATTGCATGTGGGATGCCAAGCTACTTGTAGCAGCTTGGATCTTAAATTACAAAGAGAGTCAATGCTGCTAGACTCTGAATCAACGTGGGCTGCAAACAGAAAGGGCCAAAAGGTTGACATAATTAAGAGTGAAACAAAAAGATAAAGGCCAAAATGAGATGAAGAAAAAATAGTGAAAACATATGTATAGGAAACACTAACCGTGATGGTAAATTCCACGAGGCATTATGCTGCTTAGAGAAGACCTTCTAGCCCTTGACTTAGATTGGCGAATAGCCTTCCTGAAAATGATAAAATACCAATAACAAAAAAAGAAAAACTGTATTTGAATAGGTAATTCAAAATATGCAATGCGGATTTAGTTTGGCATTCGTCAAGTTATGCAGACATGAGTTCGCAAAACACAGGAACTGAATTATGTTTGTTGGTCTCGTTGAAAGGAGCAGAACTTTTTATGTTACATCTTTTAGGGATGAGAATGTTTGCACTTTGCAACCTCAAAATTAGAAGAAAAACAATATGGATACAATAGAAGTGTGACGCAGCTGTAGGTAGAAGGTGCCAAAATTAGTATTGGGGTGGGGGAGAGGAGACTCTCAAATATCAAACAAAAATCAGTGACAATGGAGTTAAAAGATAACAAACAACTGCAAAAACTAAAACACAGAAAAGGGTCAATGAGTTTTTTTTTTTTGTCTTTTTTCTTTTTTCTTTTTTCTTTTATATATGGAAGGTTGTTCAAGTTTGTCTATGCGATTAGCTAAATCATGGATATATTTCTTCCTTGCTGATTCATATATGATTTCTCTACAATATTTACTTAACCAAAAATTTGCATAGAATCGAACAACATATTCATCCATGCCACACCTATGCAAGATGTTGTGCAAGTTGCCTGATCCAATCGACCAATATGAGTCAATCTAGGTCTCATTCATGAGATGGTCTAACAGATGATGATCATAACATTTGTTCTTCTTGGATTTTTGATTCATAAACTTCGAATCATATGACTGACAAATCTGAATTGTTACTGAATATCTATTTATAGTGATCCTCAGTATATTCAAATTACTAATGGGAGTCATCTGCGTATTATTACTGTTGGGGATATTGGGTCTTGTAATATATTTGTGGCAACCGGATTGTCTATTAATTTGATTTAAGCTGCACAACTAGTAGATAATAACTATCTAATGCACAATGATTGTATTTTATAGTAGGATCAAGTGTTAGGAATGTGATCACGAAGGTACCTAAAATGTGAAGTATATTTCCTTTACAATTTTCTATTTCTAGAACCTCGTCTTTGGGTCGTAGCATTGTTAATAATCAGAATGAGGTGACATACAAGATTATGTCAGCCAAAGTCTCAAATTTTAGAATATTTGTTTCAACATAACTTTCTTGGAAATAAAGATCAGACTTGTCACCTTGAATTACCCATTTATTGTGTTTCATGCAAACTTGGCAAAAGCAAGATTTTACCCTTCCTTTTACATGGTAATTGTGCTACCAAATGTTTTAACATAGTTCATACTCATATTGAGTATTTTGTAAGTTGCTTCTCATGGTAATTATAAGTATTTTGTGACATTTATTGATGGCCATAGTCAATTAATATGGTTAAAACTAAGTATTTTTTGGAATGCAACCACTCGTAGCTAAGCCTGAGTATTATTTGAAATATAACCACACATAGCTAAAATCGAGTGTTCTTTATAACCCAACCACTCCTTGTTAACATTGAGTATTCTTTGCAATGCAGTCAATTTTGTCTAAAAATTAATTTACAAAGTGATCTAAAAGATCACAGGTTCGCTCGCTGAAATGTGTTGCATCTTACAACATATACAAGAGTTGGCTCACTCTTTTAGATAGTTAAAGAACAACCTAATACTTGACATAAGTTATCCGACCTATTTCAAATAGCTTTTGTCCAAACTAGAGTAAAAAGTATGACTGCAATGGTCTATGCAAAGTTGGCATACAATCTTTTCAGTAGGATTGTTGATGTGGAACAACTTTATTCTTCAAGAGTTCTTGGATTTAGATAAGTCTTCATGACATCCTCTTATAAGACTGATTAGAATGAATGTTTTCTATAGTGTAGAATAAACATTTATAATATTTGAATTGTACCATCAAATCCTTAAGACCACATATCTTGATTGTCTGTCTAAGTGTAAGCTTATCAGACAAAGAATGTACACAAGTGCTTTGTGTCTATTGTTTTTAGTTGAAACATTGTGCCTATCGTCATTAGATGAAGCATTGCATATGTCATGATCTCATTTTAGGACATAATCATGTTTTAACACTTTGTTGTGAAAACACTTCATCAAAATAACAAAATCTGAGGAAAATTTCTCTAACACTATTTCATGAACACAAAAAGCACACTGAAGTTGATGTTATCACTATATTCGTAAAGTCTATGATGAGTTATGATGACTACCTCATTCATCTTTCTCACGCTTCCTTTACCTTCATATTGTTGATGTCTTTACTAAGATCTTTCTCAATATGCCATGATATTTTTTTGGCAAATTGATGCTTCATCTACCAATATCGATTTGAGGGGACGTCAACAAGATTAGGTCACTTGTTGATTTATTTCTTCCGTATTCATTTCCCTATAATTTTTTACAATATTTACTTGAACATATTAATTTGCACAAATTTGAACAATTGATTTTATTTCATTAATTGACATATTTGAATAAGTGTAATTAATCATGTATTATGCATTTTTTTTTTTGCATAGTTATTGGAAAATTCCTTGTCTAATGTTAAGATTCTCATTAAATGGATTCTCTTGATGAGAAATATGCAGTCAAATTTAATAAAGATTAAGTTTGAATAGTATGAGGGATTTACCTATTAGAATTTCCTCTAATTTCTAGTTTAATCCCTTCCTCTCTTCCAGAACCTGGGGAGAATATCCGCAAGATATTGCTATGACAAGAATAGGCAATGTTTTAGTGATAATGTTTGAGGTTATGAAAACACAAAAACTTATCCACAATAACATAACTCATAAAATATATTTCATTTGGTTTATACGAGACAAACCTATAAGAACCAGTTGCAAAATGGAGTCCATCACCACTAAAGCAGCACTCAAATTTATCAAATATGCAGTCGTTATTATATAGCTCTGGCAACTGCATAAAAAAATAGGAGCAGAAGCAATCAACCATGTGAAGAAACAAAATCTAGCAAACTCTGTGGTGCTTCTTCCCACCCGAAAGGAAAAAGTTAGAGGATCTTCAGAGAAATTTATAATGTAAAGCAGAAAGTTCAATCAAGATTGCTAGAGAAAATTATGTTTTAATGCTTTATATCAAATTTACAAGAACAAGTACGATCTTTGGAATAACTGTAACTATAGAGGGAATAATTCATGGCAGGAAACTATGGTAAAGGTTGATTGTATGAAGAATAAAGAATAACTTATGTTATAGAGAACCTATTCAGTTTTATGCTATGCCGGCAAACAATGGAAGTAAAATACCTACAATGAAGATTGATGGAAAAATGCTCGAACTTAGAGGATTATAGTTATAGGCAAATTTCCTTTGTATACGTGAAGTTATAGGAAACCACAAACTCGTTATGGAGCCTCTTTCCCCATGACTAAAGGGGTCAATTTTGCGCTGATGTCTTCTTTACCTTGGTTCCTGAATCCTCCTTGTTGGGAATAATCCTAATATGAGTCTAAATCCTATATTGGATAAAAATGACAAAATTAAACATCATATAAGAAAAAAGATCCATAAACCCAATGTCTCGAAGTTTTGGGTTAAAAGTGGTGTTAATCTTTTATGTGGGTTGAACTTGTGTCACATATATATAATCTCTCCCTAATGAAACCCCTCTCAAAAATAGACCCATCACTTCTATATGTTCAAAGGCACATCCTCAAGCTAGTTCCACAATGCATTCTCTTTGCAGATGATAATGGTAGTTACAATAGAAGGATTAAATGGTAAAAGCTAAAGTTGTAGAAGTAGAAGTAAAATGGAGTATTAAAATGGAGTATTAAAATGAAACATTTGTGATAAAAAAAGTTGCCTCTCAAGCATTAAGTATTTATTATACTTCTCTAAGATCCAGAATGCTTTATATAACCAATTGTTGGGTTCATAGAGTGCCAAAAAGTGCATAAGCAGAGTTTTGCATGGATGAAGATGTTCTACAGTGTATGAGTGAACATAAAAGATAATGTTAGATCAGGAATAAACGCAATAGAGATACTAAGATTAGAAGCTATTGAAGGAAGGACGGTTTAGTCTTGCCAAAGATGATTTGGTCAGGTTGTGAGAAAATTAAGAGCCTCAATGCAAGAGATGATTAAAAGTATGAGAGAGTTAGAGGGAGAGCGAAACAAAGAAAAACTATATTAGATAATTTAAACGATAAACATCTCACTGATCCTTTTGAAAGTTTGGTTTACAAATATAGAGGCGCCAACAATCCATTTAATTGGAAAAGGCTTTTTGATGTTTTATGTTTAGAATATAAATAACTATTAAAGCACTCTTTGATATATTTCCCTCTAAATTCAAGTAATTAAATCCTAGAAATATGGGCAGCACAGCCAAAAATTTCGTAGTCTCTAAAGTTTTCAAGTAAAACTGGGTACACAATTACGAGGGAACATAATCCATATGTCTGTTACCTATGTAGTAGAAAACTGGGCAAAACTAATTTCACAAAAACAAAAGCCGTTTCCAATTAGGAAAAAAGAAAAGGGAGGGGGCACAGGATGTTTCAAATCTATTCCACTTCACAAATTTGCAGGTATTCTACAGTGGCACAAAGCTTAGAGAGTTTACTCTCTCACTCACAGCAGAGGGATGACTGTTGATTATTGAGTCACAGCATTTTATGAAGGAGGACAAAGAATGCCTAAAAAGTTCTGTTGCCCCTATAGTCAAGATTGGAATTGATAAATGCAAAACTGATAATAGAAGAAAGTTACCCATAACAATTATGCTTTTCACTATAAAGTGAACAAAATCCTCAAAATTCAAATTTTTACAACAAACCTTAGGACGCAGATGCTCGTGAATTTTGAATATTGCGACTGGAGATGACTCCTTACGCATGTCCCAAAGCTAAAATAAAAAATGAAACTATATAAATGCCTTAAGAGCATACTTCTAATGCTAAAAAAAATCGAAGTATTTAGTACATTTTTCATTACATTTTGAGTTTTTGTGTAACTAAAATTGATTGTCTCATCTGTCGGTTCATTGCAACTTAACATATCCGAGTCAGCTTAGTCCACAAAATCACAATACTAAATGCCGGGACATTTGTTAGTTTTCCGTTTTGTTGAAAACAATGTTGGCTTCACTCAAAAGGAAACATTTTCTACCCAAAGAATATCCAAATTTCAAAGGCCAATGAAAGAGCATGTTTAACTATTGAAAAAATTATACCAACTGAGTACCCTTCCAAATCACCACTGTTTGAAGAAAAAATCTGACACAAGATAGGCTCCTGAATACAATTTTGAAATCATAATTTAAATGACTGCAGTAATAAAAGGAAAACCTTCATATTCATGTAATTGCGACTTAGAAGATGCTGGCCATCATTTAAAAACTTTATGTCTGAGATGGAAGAAGTGATTTCTGTGAAAAATGACTTTGATCCATAACTCTCTCCATGTTGAAATCTGTATAATTAAGCTGAATGAGAAGTATCAGAACATATGAATAGCTGAGACAACAGTAAAATTCAAGAAAATTAACTATGCCTAAATTTGAGGGAATTGAGTTGTATTTTACATTCTAGAAGCATGGTCACATATTGCTGAATGTCGCAAATCAGATAGACGAATTAAACCTTGTGAGCTGCTATATGCAAGGAGGTTACAATGTAAAGGATGAAATTCAGCTGATGTTATGACCTCTAGAAAAAATAGGGTAAATCAGTTAAAAGGTCAAAATGAGAGCAGAAATAACATGACATGCACATATGATGCATATTGCACATGACATAGATCTCATTTAATAATGACTTCAAAACTGGCTTAGGTCGACAAGTTACAGATGCAAAGCAGTATAATGGATTATTCTGATGGATTCAAGATGTAGCTTATGTATAGAACTAGATAGGCTTGGCTTTCATCTTTAGAAAAAGTGCTTCTGGATAGAAGAAGAGATCCTCCAAAATTGAGAGTCAGAGAAGACCAAAAGAGTAATATTCATTGGCAAATAACCAGAAAGAAAAACATGAAGAATGCAGCAAACAAATATTGTTGCTTTAATGGACAAAATAATTAAAAAAAAAAACAAAAAATGCCCTATCCACACTCTAAGAACAGAAGTAGGCAATGTGGGGCTTCGCAGCATCCCTCTGTTACCAACATGAGTCAATAGACTTTAATACTATGTCAGATTTTCATCTCAAAACCGATCTCCAAATATGTCTACCAAAATAGGTTAGCCTACGAGAATTGGTGATTTACCAAGATAGGCTATAGGCTTTCATAGAATGTTAGATTTAATCTCAAAACCAATTGACATTAAATAAAATTGTCCAACAAATATAGTCTTACCACAAGAATTGAGGTAGGCAATATGAAACTTCCCAATAATATCTATATTCAGTTTTGGAAAGTGAAATAGGTAAAGTCTTATTGGAGATGACAAAAACTAGAAGGGATAAAGGATAACAACAGGTGCCTATGTAATATATAAAAAAGTCAGTAAGTGTTCAGAAAAATTGAATGGCAACAGGTGAAAACCGTAGAACTGATTTAGAATACAAGTTTTAATTACAAAATAAAAACAAAGGGCTAATGTTGGTAGGGTTCTTATCCAATATGTTCACGCAACTATCTAGTTGGATTATATGATTTTTCATACGCTTTGTTAAATGACATTTCCGTTAAAGTTGTTAGAATTATTTCCTTAAAATAATTCTTCCAGAAACATAGAATAACATCAGATCTGATCTAGGACTTATCTCATGATTTACTTTCCCCTTATCTGCTGGTTTAAATTGTAATCAGATTGATTAGAGAATCTGTAACCAAGTCCACCAATTTATATAATCTTCTGTAACTTCAATTAATTAATTAAAATTATTAACTTATCATCAATTTAAATCAATTTACTCTTCAAACCCACTTGATGAGGCACTTGATTTTCAAGGGTTGGACTAAACATGGGTGAACAAAGAATTTCAAGTATAAAAACTTCTTTTCCAGATTCTAGGCCTTTCAATAATAGTAGTGAGAAGAAGCATGAAAAGAGTAAAACTAAGTTTAGGAACAGGAATAAAATAATCAAATGAGGCAACCTTGCTTCCTGTGATGGTATATTCTAATTTTTTAATTTCTATAGAATCTAAAATATTTAATTCTACTTGGTTGGAATAATTGGACAGAATTAGGAAGTAGTGATGAAATATGAATGAGAGCATACAAGAATTAGAATGTGCAAGGAGTCATGGATAAATAGAGCTACCGGTAAGGTCCTCCATGTTTGATGGCTTCATGTCAATAATGTTGAAACACTGATCACTGACCTCAAGATTCCACAAATTGATTCTAAGGTCGTCTGCCGACACAAAGGTCTCATAATCACTGTAGAGGTATCATGACGCCACTTTTTGTTTTTAATTTTGTAACTAACAATGCAAATAAAATAAAGACGTATTCCTATTATGTTTACACTATTAACAGAAACAGGATATTAAGCATCCATAGTAAAAGGCAAGCCGAATGCACCTATTATTTGAGATGGAGTTAATATTGAAACTGTGAGCATAAGCATACACCTTTTGGCGCTTTGCGCGAAAAGGGTCTTCCATTCCACCAATCTGATAACAAAAAATATCAACCAACGGTCATGTATGTGTACCCAGATTTTCTTTCAAACCGGAGATAGTGGCGATAAAACTTAAGCATTGGTATTTACACAAGACACAAGAACCAACCTCGCTATCAACGTCCTGAGGCGGCAAATGATTCTGAGGCATCTTCTCTATCCATTCCAAACGATAGCCATTAGCAGCAGACTTGGTTTCCAGCCCTGGTACGAAACTACTTTCCGCCAAAAGCATATTTTCTGAGCACAAAGGAGGGGCCATTTCTTTAACTTGTTTCACCTTATGCTCCTTAACCTGCCCCAGAAACACCACAGAACAGAAAATGAAAGCTGTAAGATATTATTCAAATTTGGAACATACAGAATCACCTTATTCAAATCGGCAATTGTACAGGTTAGAAAGCAGTATGACGAAATAAGTAGAATTAGAAATTACAAGGCATGTTCAAACCTTCCACAATTTAATTGTTTTATCGTTGGTTGAAAGAATAAATTGCAAACTGTCGTGGGTCATCCACCACCTTACTTTGTTAATCTTCTCTTCAATTTCTACACTCTTTAGGTAATCAAACTGCAAATATACCAATAATCAAATAATTGATGATCGAAATTATCAATCTTTGCATAATTTTTCAGAAATTATTCATGATACATTACTTTAGAGATTACTTAGGAAAGAGGATAAAACTTTGATAATTTATTTAACAAACTTCAAAAAGAAAAATATACATAATCATTTTTTTTAAACATCTATAATTTCCCGCTCTCTCTTTCTCTCTCTTTCTTTCTATCAAATCATATATATCGTTATAGATAGTGTTTTTTTTAACTAATTTTAGTGTCACTTTTAATTACACTATTTTATCCTTTATTTAACTAAATCAAATTATTTTTTCTATTATTCAATAAGATATACAATTTCACAATTTCTAAACCAAAAAATAACCACATAATTTTAACTTTTTTATATTTTTAAAAAGTATAATATTTTAATACTGCTAGTCATTTATAATATCTATATCTTTTTGTGATATTATTTGAGTGCCATTACATTCGAAGTATACATGTATTTTTGTTTTCATAATAAAAAGTGAGGTAGCATATCTCAGAATTAATAATTTATGCCTTGGTGATGCAAAGTCATTGAATCCTGTATTGCCATGTAGGTTATGTTGGCTAGCTTTTACAATAAATAATTTAAAAATCATATAGGTTGATTCATGAGAACAGATTAAGAGACTTTTTTCTTTCAGAAAAATTCACAAAATTTTAGTTAACTTTACTCAATTTTTAATGTATACAAATTAACTAAAATTATCTAAATATTTGCTGAATACGTTTTCGTCGGCCTAAAATTTATTGGGATGAAAGTGGTAGAAGTTAAGCTCTTACAATAAACTCAAAATATCATCAACAAATAGAATACAGTAACGACAAACGTACCTCGGGTTCGTGGCTCTGAAATTCTGTCTTGTAACGAAATTCGGGATGCTGCGAGACGAAACCCCGCTGCTCCAGATCCCTTCGGTTACTCGAAACCTAACGAAGAAACACATAACAGATTTCAGACAAACGGCTTTTCGAATACGGAAGCGAAGACAGTGTATGGTGGCGAGAATCGCGTGATACTCACATTCTTTTTCCGATCGTCTCTTCCGAATATTACAACGCGTCCACCTCGATCGCCAACGGCGAGATGATCGCCGAGCTTATCGAAAGCAATGGTTGTTATGATGTCGTCTGAACAAGATAAACGAAACGAACAGTGAACAGCAATCGAACGAGAGAAAACGCAGAGTTAGGAGTTGCGAGTTACGACTAACCGTTCTGGAGAGGCTCGTTGGGAAGTTGTTGGCCGAGTACTTGAGAGAAGTTCCATAGGAGAGGGACAGAAGGCGCAGAATCGTAGTAAGCCATGAATGGTGCTAAAACGACAACGTCGCGCGCAATCTCATTCTGATCTCAAAGAACTGAAGAGTCCACTTGGTTTTGGAAACTTGCAGAAGAAAGCAAAAGTTGGGTTTTGGGTGTTTTGTTGTCGCTGTGATGATTCATCCACTTGCAATTGCAATTGCAAGTTCGTTATACAGGAGAAAATGCGCGCGCCACACAACGGTATTTGTGGGCTCGCACGAGAGGATAAGGCCTGGGTCCACTTAACTGCTTAAATGGACCATGTTGTGACTTGACAATACCACCACGCTCTTTACACCACCTAATAGTTTCTTCTTGCACTTCTATAGTCTTAGAAAAGGATTAAATTATTTATAGATCTAAAATATTTTGGAATGAGAAATGTATTTTGAATGGCGTAGTTTAGAAATTTAAATATACTTTTTTAATTATATCATCTAAACATATGTTTTAAAATTTTCAATCTTAAATACATTCTTAAATAATATAATTCAAAATATATTTCTAAATTTTTGAAGATTTAAATCCTCTTTTGGTCCTCATATTTGTTGGTAAATCTCAAGTGGGTCATCGCTTTTTAAACTGTCAAAATTGGGTATATATATTTGTAAAATTGAGTCAATTTTGTCCCTTCCGTTAAGTTTTGATAAACAACGTTAAGAGATGTTGAGCTGTCATTTTTCTAAAATGGCGTGGCATTGCGTATTAAATTGAATGGATTATGTGTTAATTCCACATCAGAAATTTCCATTCACAAAAAAAAATAAAAATTCTCCCACCCATTAACATAGTCTTCTCCATAGAAACCCTAGCCGTCGTTAGCCATGCTCGCCACCATCCTCGCCCAAACCACCACCGTGCTACATAACCATCAACACCGTTAAGCCACAACCTTCCACTATTAACCTCGTCGGATCCACCATCTTCTTTTGACCCAACCAGAAAAAAAGATTACCTTTTTTCTTGCACCTCTTTCCATTGTGTATTCGATCATTCCATATTAAGTTCAAGAATATAAATACTTTCACCAGGATGAAGAATTCGTAAAATCCAGAGTAATCCACATCCAAACAATAAGATGTGATCTGTTTGTTGGTTATATTCTGCACAACCGAAACCTCTCGTCTACCTTCGTTAAACGAAATCACAATGGGCGTGTTCAACCTTGCTTCATCTTCACCCAACGATCTGAACAATAGCAGAAGCAAAATAAACTCCATTAGCGACTTTCAACGAGGGAAAAGGGTGCATTTGCAGTGCTGATTTGGGGCCATGGAAATTGAGACGGTGCTTGGACTGTGGAGTCTTCATCTGGGTGGGGTAGTTTTGTTTGGAAGAAGGGGTTGGAGTCATAGTGGAAAATTTGATTGTGAGAAATAAAGATTGAACTGAGAAGAAAGAATTGAGAAGAAGAAGAAATTGGCACCGGAGACAGAAAAGAAGTCGGAGACAAATAAAGATAAAACACATAACCCATTAATTTAATGCATAATACCACTCCATTTTAAAAAAAAATACAGCTCAGCATCTCTTAACGCCGTTTGTCAAAACTTAACGGAGGGGACAAAATTGGCTCAATTTTACAAGTATATGGACGCAATTTTGACAGTTTAAAAAGCAATGACCCACTTGAGATTCACCAACAAATATGAGGACCAAAAGAAGGTTTAAACCATTTTTGAATTTGGAAATGTATTTTAGGTTATGTAATTTGAAAAATCATAAAAATGAATTTCAGATTACATACTCAAAAATTGAAAATATCATTTCTTCTAAATTATGCAATTTATAATACATTTTCATGTTACATAATATAAAATACCATTATAAATCCTACTATCCAAAATACAATTTAAAATTATATAATATAAAATATTATAATCTGATAAGATATCGTAACAGAACATCCTGCTTTTTCATTCACCAAACAATAATATAAATACATATCATAGTTCACTAGTCACCATTAAACTTGCCCATAATCAATTAAAATGTAGCCATTAAATATGTCTATTTAGGAAAATAATATATCTTCTAAATATAATGATTAATGACAATAATAATTATTTTGATCCTAAGTTCGATAAGATATTTCATTTTTACATATGACATCATTGTTTCAATCCCAGTCCAATGAGATAGCATTGCTAAATTCATTTATCACATTCGAAGTATTGTCAGCTTTGAAGTTTGAAGTTTCATCATAATTTTGTCCTTAAAAGGTGTCTTAGAGGGTTGAAGGAGGAAAGTGTGTTTAAACTGATATTGGTCTCAACTCCTAAGAGATGTGAGACTATTGGTGAGCCAAGGTTGTTGATCATTTGGTTTATGGTGATATTGCTAACTTTGTCAAGACCAACATTCTTGTGTCTAGAGCATGAAGATGAATGAAGTTTAGTGTAGTCAATCTGAAACGAATGCATCTAGAGGTGACACAAGTGGATAAGTCTCTCCCCTTCATGTGAAGAAAATTGAAAGGGAAAGGAAGAACAATCTCGCTCCTACTCACATTGTTGAATCCTTAAAGGAATCACTCAATGTCAAAGGATTCACGAGAACCATGAATGAGATATACAATGAGCTTCATGTTGTCGAGGGAGAAGAGATTACGCAACAAAGAAACTTATTGCTCGAGTTGAAGCGTCTACAACTGAAGCATCTAGCATAGAGCAAGCTACTCTCGTATTTATTGCCCCTCCAACCAAGTGGTAACTTTTTGACAAGTGAACCAAATCATATCAAGTAGTAAATGTAAGTTCCAAGTATCGCTCTCTAAAAGGGCTTGTGTTTTTGTTTGTCTAATATTAATTATTTACCAAATTCAACTTAGATACGATGATGATTGAATTCATAACGATGAAATTGAATTGTAATAACAAGAATTTAAAGATTACGATTGAAAAAAGCTTCATTTAAACTGGGTTTCATGAATCACATAAGAATGAACATTTGTACAACATATCATATTGTCATTCACATATACACATCAAGGTATACTTGTTTCAATTCCTTAAGATCAAGTTCTAAATTTATATGTTAAATTATTAATTCCTTAATCCATTTAATATATAATTTGCATTAAAATCATATGTTTAAGAATGACCAGAATAATTGACACCATTCCTAGTATCACTCTTTTTGATTGCTTTATCTTATGTCCACGTTTAAGGTTACTTTTCAATACTCATAAACATTCAAATTACATTATATTTCCATATAAATGACAATCAAAATAAGAAGAGCACATGAACGCAGAGATATATCGCACAAGAAAATTACATCACAGTGAGAATATTACATACAATTCCAACAAAAGATAAAATTAGCTACTCCTAGTCATCTAAAACATACACGTTTGACGAAATTCGGTGAAGAACGACGTCTTGATGTCTTGAAGTAACATCTGTCTAGTTTTTGGAATTTTTTTCGTTCTTTTCTAACTAGAACCCCCCTTTACTTCCTTTCTTTCTCGACTTAATAACCACTCCAAAAATATATAATTCCCTCAACGAGAAGGTATACATTCGTTGAGCAAAAATTACACTGATCCTTTGCTAACTAATCCCACTCGCTGAGCAAGTGTCCTTCCTTTTAGCTGAGCGAATGATGATTAGCTTAGCGAGAAAGTGTTGACAGATAGTCAATGATGTATTAAGTTCTTGTACAATGAGCTAACACTAACTTTCCTAATAACTATTACATTTTTCTATGAGGAAAACACATAAGTCATGAATAATTACAACTTTGAGACTCTTAATAAGCATGAATAACAAGTATTTTTCACATTTTCCAAGAGTAAACGATCTCGATCAGTAGTGTCGAAAGAACCAAAGATGAAGAAAGTGAAGACTGATGAATCATTATTTTATACTATTCACTTAGCTTTTCACACCAAATTATATTAGTGAATTGTGTTTAATTCTCCATTATTGTCTCATTTTCACTAATTGGGCTTAATTCAATCAATAATTCATATTTTTAATTAATTTGGATTATTTGAATCTAATTATTGTCATTATTAATTGTAGGACAATTTTGGAATTATGATTAGTACTTTAAGAGGGCTGTCAACATCATTTAATTTCGTTTTGTAATTTTAATTATTTTAGTTTTGACCATATTTGACTTTTGTTTGGTCAATATTTTGTAAGAAGCCCATATAGAGGGCATTTTTGTCTTTTGTCCTTTTAAAATCCCCAAATCATATTTGTGAAGCTCTCTCCTCTCCCTCATTCACGTTTTTCTTCTTAGGTTTTAGGGTTCTTGGGCATTTTCCACTCCCCCCTTTGGGTGTTTAGGTTTGATATTCATTTCCTTTCTCTTCTATGTATTGAATCGTTTTCTAATTTCATTGCTATTGGTAATTTCAATTTTTCTTGATGTTCCTTTCTCTGCTTCACTTTGATTTTCTAATTTCAATTTCGTTTTACCCTTTTCAATTTCGCATATGCAATTTCATTTCGTTTATGGTTTTGCATTTTGATTCTGCATTGCGTTTTAGTTTCAATTACGTTTTGTGCATTGTTGTTTCGTTCCAGAATTTAATTTCGCATTTCCTTCAATGTTTCACATTCTGTTTTGTTGTTTAATTGCGCTTTAATGGTAGCTTAAGTGTGCTTGGTTGGTAATTAACGAAATTGCATAGTTTCTTTGAGATTTCTGAGTTGGAATTGTGATTTTGCTACTCTGATTTGGCTCAACATTCAATCTATTTTGTGCTTGCCATGGGGTATACGCTTAATTTCCTAATTGGTGTTTAATCTTCGCTTAGTTGATTGGACTGTATGGTGCAAAATTGATTGAACTTGTGCATTGCATTCGTTTAGTTTGCAATTATGAAAACATGGTTAGTCTTCACTTAGTTGATTAACTTGTGTTGGATTAGGGGTTAAAGTAGTGAGTGATTGATAATAATCTATGATTGGAACATTGCATTTGAGTTAATTGCCAACCGCTTTCTAATATGTGTTGAATTCATGTTTTAGTTGTTTCTTTTGCATCCACAAAACTGTCCACAAAACTCTCCCACCAAGTGTTTGATCTAATTCTTGAACCACATTTGGTCCTTGAGAGACGACCTAGGGGTCACTTCCTAATATTATATTGCACTTAATTGCATATTAATTTGATTCGGGTACGACCTCGATCAAATTTGGCGTTGTTGCCTATTGTTGTGCGACCTGAAGAGTCTGATCAATTTAATGATGGACTCGTTTTTAAAAGAGTTCAAAAAAGGCTTGCAAAACCTACTGATTATACCATTGTAGTGTCAGCTCCAAGGAGGCCTAAGCTCACCATTCGAAAGTCTTCAAGACAATCATCTAA